TCAAACGGTGAGTGATCAACTGGATGGATGGATAGATTTTGGTTCCATCCTGGCCACGTACTAATTTCCAACGAGTGGTTCTTTGTGCGAATCAGGTCACCTTAAGAGCTTTCAAAACGGATACAAACCTAAGTTGGGTTCATATATGATTGATTTAAGTGCATGCATGTGGTGTTTGTGTAAATGAGATCCTTCGGATTTCAGCTTCACGCACAATCCTCAGTCCATTGATGCAACCATACATCCGGAAACCCTAGACTCGAAGTTCGTTTTTCGTAAGCTCATCAGCAGTGCATATCCACCATTCCTTCCGGGATTTGAACTCCAGGCATGGGAGGGATGTGTGTTACCACTGTGAACCGAATCGCCAATTCCTGTTTGTTCAGGTGTCGTCTCCAGTGATGGTCAGTCAGTTCATTCGGCCCGACAGCACCGAAGGGAGACACGGGTGACAATCTGTTAACTCACACGTAACTGAGTCCAATGCATTTGAGCATTGCATGCAAATTATCGATTAAAAAACAGTTGTGGGAGAATTCGTATTCTTTTCACAGTTGCGTTGCGTAATACTATCAACGGAACTAACAAGGCAGTATGCCAATGGAACTGAGTAATTTTATTGATCATTATGATCACTTCAAAGCTTAGACTTATTCGTATCATTTGGGAAAGTCTAGATGCAAATTTGGTATTGCTGTTTGAGGAAAACAACGTACAATGCAACCACATTCAAATATGCACCGAATGAGTACCCTCTTAGCCGTCAAACCGCTCATATTACATTTTTTCAACAATCTCGATCATTAGACGACCCCTCATTTGCGGAATAGCCCAATTAAATGTTAGCCGCATGCACTCTAAATGTGAGATCCAATAATGACGATTTGATTTGTTGATTTGTTGTGCGTATGTGTCTGCAGTGACGTTCTCGCTTGCACTGATTGACTGCCATCTCAACGTAATAGCTAACCAAATACCACAATTCGGTTCAGATATTTTGCTGGTTGTTTCTTCTCCTTCATATTAGATGGAATCAAATGGTGCCTCACGCATTCCTTTCTAGTCATATAGGCACACACTCCCACCGGCATGTCACAATCAAGCGTGGTCCGTGAAAAAACTGATTGTTTCAGAGTTGAAACTGAACAAAAGACAGACGCATTCATTTCACATGAAAGGTGGAGGTGTGAAAGGATGTGGGGGACTTTTCGAGCAGCGCGCTTTTAGGTCCTGGCAACCTGAAGAGTGGCGTCCCAGCCGCGTTTAGCCTATGCATTTTGCCCATTTCTGCTTGTATCCTATCCTAACGTTTAGTTTGATTCCTGTCCACAAAGAGACTGTTTGCGCGATTATTCCAATTTTCTTCCCATTTAGCGGCAAACTTAAGTGAAACATTCGCTCTTCCACCCACCCCCGATGAAAGAGATGTAAGGTGTGATTTGAATAGTAAAAATAATATTTCTTTTGCAATTGTCATATATTTGGATGACTTTAAAGGCGATTAATCTCTTGACACCTATGGGATATTAGTGATAGAGTAGGGCGCAATGTGAGTAAACAACGATTCGAATACGAACGGCCCGAAGGGGAGCAGCAGGAATCATTTGCATTATTTTAGGAAATAGTAATGCAGTTTATGATTTGCCGCAATATTTTTTCTTTCATTCAGAATGATGAAAGCCTTCGAAGTCGCGATGTATATTCTGGCCCGTTAATCATTGCCAAACGGGACTGTGTTGATCCAGAAGGAGTTTACGATTCAAAAACGTGCAGTCCATATGATCGATCTGGAATCATACAACCGCATGTGGATTTCAAGCGAACCGACACAGCTTCGGCTGATAATAAACGGTAATTAAATCAAATTCTCTATGCATTGAAAATGTGATATCATAAAAAAACAATCTTCCAACGTGTCAAATTTATTCTCAAATTCTGACAGACATTTTTGCTATGGCAGCACTTTTCCCCTTTCATAGCACGAAACAATCCACCTAAGTTGGACTTAACAGACTATATTGAACTTGTTGATAATGATTACTTTTATCTCTAAGGTGGTCTATTTTGATTCCTCCTTTTCTACAACCTACTTTGCAAATGTAATGACTCATGTTGATCAGCTAGTAAAGATCATTAATATTTCATTTCTAATGTAAATCTGAATTTGATCTTCACATAATCTTTCGAGGAATGGCTGTCGAGAAAACTGGAAAATGATCAAACATTTATGCGGTGCCTCTGCCAGTGGTAACTCCCCAATGGTGCATATAAATTATTCGAATCACAATGTTGTGAGGATGACAACTCCCCGACTCACTCGAAGCATTGAGTAGCCGTCGGCGATTGACGCTCCTCTATTCGTCAGATGTGTACAAGTGTTTCAATGTGCTCCGCAAATTTAGTGGGTCGGATACAACGCAAACAATTGTATTAAAAGCATCCACTAACCCCCTTTCACTCAGTCTGCCTCACATCTTCCACGAATTGTTTTCACCAACATGCATTTAACAACTGCCGTAGAACATCAACATAGAAAGACGATAAATATCGCGAGATGTTTACATTTCCTGTAATCTTCTCAGTAGACGACTTAGGACAAACAGGCACATATATATTACGGTTACGGCCGATAAAATTGTACTAACCGTAAACGTAGATGGCCAACTCCACTGCATTTGCGCTGACGCATACATAGGCAGGTCAAACGATTACAAGAAATCGGGGACCATCTGTTGCAAAATATGTCGTAACAGCAAGACACATAGTTTACCTCAATTCGTCTTTCAAGCCACCATTACTTAGTCGCAATGCTAAACCTTTGGCAATTAACGAAGCGCTGTTTGTGGGATTACCTCAACCGACATACGGAAAACCGTTCTTGGTATAATCACTCCACTTACCATGGATTTGATCCGCCAATTTTATACTTAGTAATCCTTATGTGCTTGTACCTGTTCATTAACTGCAATAGATTAAAACCAGTCTGCTATATATATGCTTGTCCCTTTTAAGTTAGCGATTGAGAAGATTAAACGAAATTTAACATTTCTTTCAATCTTCTCATTTAGTCGCATCTTGCTTTTCTCTATTTCTATTGATAGGGAATCAAGCAGCGGAATATGTACCTAAGAGTGTGATGAAGTATGTTTTGACTTCAGTTAACTTGATATGTGATATCAGTTTGCATTCTGAGTCGCAAGTTTGAGACGCAGAAGCACACTGTTTGTAGTGCTTCTTAAAGCAGCAATTCACGTGACCACTTGATGGCGCCAAACTGAAATCAAAATGTGGACTTAAAAACAAAATGTGTGGAAGAAAAGAGAGGTAGAGCCAAAGAGATAGATGGAGCGAGCGGTCAAAACAACGCAAAATCCATTGAGGTGTTCATTCCGTCTGGAACCTGGAGGTTGTGGCTGTAACCGAAAGATGTACTTAGGAAGCGGTTGCAGTAAGACGTCAACCTACATAGGTTGCGCTGGTTGGAACATGTATTGCGCATGTCACCAAATAGGTTGCCATGACGAGCGATGTTTGACGACGCAGGTAGCGGCTGGAAAAAGGTGAAGGACGGTCAAACTAAGACAAGGAATGAGAGTATGAAAACCGTACCTAGGACACGGAGTCACATAGATCGCGTTAGGCTCCCTGGGATCATGAGCACCGGTGGTTAGAGACAATGAGTGCTGCAAACAGTGGATCTCGTGTATCTACTGAATATTTTTTCAACTGCAGTCTATATGAATTATCTATGTAACCGTTGAAATTGTTCACAATCCGACCTCCAATCGGCTCTATTATTCAAACGGACGGCCAACAGACGGCAACCAAAATCAGAGCATGAGGCTGCATGGTTCATGACTGTACAGATTGAACGGAACTGAGAATGATATAACAACTTTTATTTTTTATCAAATGCATGTTTTGATACCTATTTTCTTTCATAGAACGCCTCTTAGTATTCACCGAGTTAACGTTTTCTAGGTAACAGATGGGCGATTCAGGTTAAACTAAACTCAATAACTAAAAACTATAATTATGAATGTGTGAATCCATACCAGCTGCGATATACATTTATCAGTTGAAGAGTTTGAATATGGCAAGTGATCTTTATTTACTATGAACAGTTGATCAGCAATCGATATATTGCAACAGAATCTCTCCTTGATTGAATTGCTCGCAGGCAATGCTTTCAAATAAAAACTTGCGAGTTTTGCACTGCGCTAGAATGTGATCGATGTCAAACGAGTCCACATTTCGGACGACGCCCTTGGGGCAATTCTTTTGGGAATTATG